TTGTAGCTTTTTTTCGTGCGAAGCACGACGCAGGGATGGTGCTTGATAGCAAGTCTCCCCATTCGATACCCACGTTTTGTGTCCGGAAGCCGAACGGCAAGTGGCGTATCGTTCACGCTTATAAAAAGCTAAATGCTGCCACCATTCCGGCATGAACGCCAATTCTTAGAAAGAATGTTCTTCAGAACAATATGGTTGGCTGTACAAAGCACAGTGCACTCGACTTGGCCGATGGTTATTACCGATTGCTCATGAGAGCGAGTGATACCCCGCTGACAGCGGTAAATACTATGAGCGGGATGCTCTGAGATGGCTAGTGATGCTCCAAGGTCTGTCAAATGCGCCAGCAATATTTGATCGTCTTGTGACGCAGTTGTTCGGGCCCTATCGGGCGTATGCACAGAAATACTTCGTCGAAGATCTTCGCCTATAATCGTGCGGGGCACGGTAGAACAGATGAGGAAACCCACATCGTCTATTTAAGAGCGGCACTCGAGTGTATACGCACAAATAAGCTACATGCTAATGCCGATAAGTGTATTTTTGGCGCCGAGAAAATTCCCTTTTCATGTTGTTAATTGGGAAGCGTGGCCTTCAAGCGGATCCCGCTAAGGTCCAAGCCATTGTGGACTGGCCAACTCCAAAGAACCAGAAGGACATGCGCAAGTGGCTTGGCCTCGCCAACTACTTGCACAAGTATAGCGCAAACTACGCGGAAATGGCACGGCCATTGTCTAATCTTCTTAAAAGGATACGCATAGTGTTAGGACACCGAGCATTGGGAGGCTTTTGAAGAGGTCAAAAACAGTCTCTTTCATGTACCAATACTAGCGTTGCGACAGCCCGATCGTTGATGTGACACCACGGTCTTTGTCATCGTCTGTGCACTGCGACAAGCAGACGCCGAGGGGCGAGATCGGGTGATCACGTTCGAATCCCGCCAGCTTAAGGCTGCGGAGATGAACTACCCAGTCACGACAAGAAATTACTTGCGATGAAGTTTGCACTATTTAACTTCAGGGTGCACCTGCTGGGATCAAAGTCGTTTGTGATCTACACAGATCACGCTTCACTTCACACTGCGATTCAGCCGCCTCACCTCTCGCAGAGGATGGCCAGGTGGCTATCATTCTTTGCAGGATATAACGTCGAGGTGAAGTATAAGCCAGGAATGTCGAATATTTTGGCTTTCACGCAAACCGGACAATGAATTTGATCATGTCACGGCGGTGACGTCGTCAGTGACGGATTTGATCCGCGCCGCATACGTGGGTAACAGTATGTATGTAGCGCTGCTACAGGCTCTCGGAAGCAAGAATTTTGAAAACTCGGAAAAGAAATTGTCGGTGCGTTTGCGCGCACAATTAAACCAATATTCGTTGAGAAACGGGCTGCTGTATTATGGCACCGATTCAACGGATACACCACGAGTTGTGGTTCCCCGCGACGAGGATTTGAAATAGAGTATCCTCTATGAGGACCATGACACCCCACTTTGTGGTCATTTTGGTCGTGGGAAGACGTACAGCTCGGTGAGTTACCACTATTGGTGCCCCAATCTATACGAGTGGACGAGCACATATGTGTGCACGTATGAGACGTGTCAGAGGGCGAAACCCTTATCGAATTCGGCGGCGCCGCTGGCCAGTTTACCGGTAAACTCTGGGTGTTGGCGCTCCATGAGTATGTACGTTCTGTTTGGCCTGCTGAATGACTCGGCAGGCAATATGGATGTGGTGGTCTTCGTGGACCGTTTGAGCAAGATGGCTCATCTTGTTGCAGAACCGGATACCATCGACGCTTTTTGTCGATCGCATCTTTTGACAGCATGGGCACTTGGAGTTTTGTCTCTGATAAAGACCCGCGCTTAACTGAGAAATTTTGGTCTACACTTTTCAGTGGGCTGGGCACCAAGTTGACTATGTCAACAGCCGCAGAACGATGGTCAGACTGAGCGCATGAATCGCGTCGTCAAAGACGTTCTTCATAAGCGCGTCTTTGAAGTGTTGGAGCGCTATGTTGCCACTCGTAACGTATGCTATGAACAATGCAGTGCATTAGTCTACCGGCTTTACGCCGTTCTACGTGAACGGGTTTATTGATCATCGGTCCCGCTGACGCCGCCATCTCATGGCTCAAGGAATGGTGAGGGAGAAATAGCCGAACGGCTAGCTGACGTCAGCCCCTCACCGTGCCTAAGGAAGTCGGAGACTTCCTGTCTGCTAGACAGAGTATCTTACGACACGTTCGTGATGCGATCGCGGAAAGCCAAGACATGCAGAAGGAATATGCACAGAAAATAGGAAGAAGAAATGTTAAGAACATTGATGTCGAAGACCTGATTTTATCAACCGCTAAAAACCTTCTTACATATGCAGTTATTCCGTCCAAGGTTTATCGTACTTTTTAAGGTCGTGGCCAAGTGAGGCCTAGCGTATACGCTGAACCTTCCGAGAAGGACGCACCCATCCGGTGTCTTATGTGAACTTGCTTTAGCCATACCGGGATCCGGCGCAAGTGAACGCGAAAGCCTTTGCGCCGGGGTGGCGCCCAAAGGCGCTCGACCACTTAGAAGTTGAACCAGCAATTAGTTCTGGGTACTGAGTGCAGCAACTTCCGTTTCAGCGCTCCACCGTCGCACGAAGTAGCGTATTTGCCAGCACGACGGTTAGGGTCCGTTTCGACAGAGCACGGCAATCCTCAACGCAAGGCAGTCGGTGCACATAGTGCTCTAGGTCCTCGAGGTCTTCCGCACAGCGGTTGACGACCACGAAGAGATGCACAGCAGAATGCCGATGACAACGGACTTTGTCTTCCAACGTTCAAAGAACATCGCGATTCACTGGACGGCAATCGAATAAATCGTCATCATCCACCGCCAACTCCTCTCGATGAGAATGGTGGCGTCCACTACCACGTGGAACGCCGTGTGGGTCGACGTCGTCGACGGGGTTCTAACCCAATGGCGGGGTATACAGACCCCGAGAACTCGTGGGAGTTTGCCCAGACGTCGTAGACGCTTATGGTCAGAAGAATCATGATTCTTCGCATCGTCTTGCGCACCACGCTTCTTGGCCGTAGCCCGGGAAGTCGGAGGGCCATAGGCTGAGCTCATGTTATGGCCCTGAACTGCTGTGACATAGATTTACCCGTTAGAGAAACCACAGAGCTCGCAAGTGCGTTATGAATAGTTCCATATGTCGCAGGGCGACAGTACGTAGGAAGTCGACGTTGCACCTTGAGTTTGGCAAACTCAAATCTAAGATGGCGCTTAACGCTCAAAGAGCTTATCATCATCTACAGCGGTTTCTCCGGGTATGAGCACCACAGTGATCGTCCACATTGCGGGAGCAAGAGTACCTCCTTTTTGAGCTCGAAGTCGAGCGCGGTACCGTTCCATTGGGATCTCTTGGGGTACAAATGCGAGCTCGCAAAGCTTTCCGTGATCTGTAGTGGCCGGAGGCCCAACTACGTAGACGCCTAACGATCGAGTGATCGGATTTCGTAGGGTTTGAACTGGGCTCGTGTCACGCCGTTGGCGCACCACATCTTCTTCGTTATCCCATGCTGGGGAAAGAGTGTCCGAGTCGTAGTCGGATTCCTTCAACTCTTCGACGAGGAAATTCGTCGCTCGGGGCGGGCGCGTCGTGTTGCGCCCAGTTGCCGAGGGGTTGGGATGTGCTTCCGTGAAGCCGCGGACGTACTGTCCGGATATGCACCCTGTTCACAAGAAAAAGAAGATCTATGCCCGCGGGCGCCCTCGCTACCAGCAAGGCTGGGTGTTTTGTGTGTCATAGACACCTTCTTCATTGAGCGGAGAAGGTTAACGCTGTTCCTATGAATGTGAAGGTGTCTCAGACACGCGAGCCTCGCATGAGGCGGCCGTCAAATATGAATGGAGGATATCCACAATATCAATGGGGAGAGTGTAACTGGGTTACACATGCTCTTGTGAGAAAGGGCGGGTCGCACAAGATTTGCGACCGTACATCGGTGTGAACTACACAGCGTTATCACACAGTGATGTGGCTACACCGTAACAAGAAGCCACTTAAAGCGTCTCATTCGTGCCCCTTTTCTATTCCTTCTAGAATCGAAATGGCTTTCCATCCCTTCTATGAATTTCCAGTCACCTTCGGCCGCGGATTGCTTCAAATTGATGCCAATAGGCAATGATAGTGCTACTGAGTTTGAGTCTCGCGAACTAAACTTTGCCGAGGAGATTTATCAGCTTGCGACGAAAAGCACCTACCGTGAGGTACGCTTTGGTCAAGATAAGAGTACACCTCTTTATGCTATTTGTGATCGTTACAGGCGCGGCTACATTCTCGCCACACTTGTTGCAAAGGAAGATGATGATGTTTCCTCGCTTAGTATACTTTCGGTAGAGTCAAGCCTGGTTTTAAAGTCTTCGTGAAGCGCTTCCGCGTCGACCGTATTGTAAATTAGCAATGGTGCCACAAACGATTTTTCACGGCATGTGAGTCAGACACAAGTTGTGTTGCGGTATTGAGAGCTTTGTCAGGATTTTTTGAGCTCATATAATGCTTTGTCCAAGCATGTTCATACTGTCGCGCCTTGCCTTGATGTTGCTACGATTACTTCTACCTCGGATACAGAATTTCGTATGAGGCATAGATACTTTTTTAGCAGGATATCTAAAAGACGAACGGGCTTTGTGGCACAATGTACTGGTGTTCATAGATATACAATAGGTGAGCACTTATGTTTGCATGTGTAAAACGTTTTCACTTTCCGCATGCCTCAAACCAGCGAGTCAATTGCTAGCGACCCCCAATATGATCCTTTGTCCTCTCGAAGACGCCTTTGGTACCGGTATTGTACACTTTTTAGACCCCAATGTGTCTTTTATTCAATTATGACTTTGAAGATTAATATTTGCGCTTGCTCAATCCATTTTGTATTAATTATCTTAGATGGGAATATTATTTTTCAATAAGAATATTTAACTTGTATCAAGCACATTCATCTTTAAGAAAATGGCTTCGTTCGATGATTTGGCATTTATAAGACCACCAGACGACAATGTGCGTAGTCAGCTTTATCTTACACGTAGCAAGTCAATAATATTGTGGATGCTCGCTGAAGACTACAGCATCTCTCGAGTTTTTCTGCAGAGATTGCAACGAGGTCTCTCAGACAAGGACGCCAGGTGAGGAATCAGTGTGGATGACAACAATTCTCTGCGTCAAATGTGAATGCTAAGGGTAGAGCTGTACATATGGCTCTTTAGATGGAAGGAGATGCTTGATTTGCGGCTGTGTGCTAGAGCGTCGGTATCTGACAGAAGCGAATGAACGGGTACTACTTCTATTTTACTCCTGCAGTGTTCTGTTGTCGTTGCTTAGTCTGAATTGATGGTACATAGGTAATGCCTAATGCTGTGTTTGGTAGCCGTGCAGCTAGTGTAGAAGAACTACAGACGATGGTGATGCGACTGCTATCGCAAATTGGCGATGACTGGAATGGTGGAGACGCAGACGCGCGTCGACCTGCGTCTGACGAAGCTGGTAAGGACAGAATGCTGCCGTAACTATCTTTTCAATTCATTGTATTTAAGTTTTGTAACTCAAATTAGTGAAAAATCTCGGATCATTTTCAGCCGATCAAGCGTCTACGATTGAAGTAGCTATTGTCGTGAAGGGAATCAAAGGCGAGGTAGGTTTTATTCATTCATCCGTACTGACGAAGCCAGAATTCTATCTGCTGACATTAAGCGTTTTGTATCCACTTTCATTTTAATTGTTATGTACCAGGCGATTGCGATTCCCGGTAACTTTGGCCCGTGCGAATCTCTTAAAGAGCGTAAGGTAATCCTCGCTGATCCTTTTGATGGTGCCCGAGCGTTCCAAAATAGTGACGACATGAAAAACAAGGTAGATGATTCTAAAAGAATTTGGTTCTTAGATCTGACAAGTCTATAGATTGTAGTGATGGCACGGGGAGGCTGCACGTTTGCGCAAAAGGTTCTTCGAGCTCAAGCCGCGGGTGCTGCAGGGGTGATCATCATCCAAAATGTCGATGTATGGCCATACACGATGACAGATTCAACTGGTGAAAGCAAAAACGTGATAATTCCAGCCTTTATGATGAGCGCAAAAGTTGGCGAAGGGTATTTTGAAGCTTTTAGCTGCGATTGAAGATTATATTTTAATAGTGATCCTTTTTGTTCGCCGTAGATTTGCGACTTTCATTCGTACTCAAAGTGAAGAGGACATCTTGGCCAACGTAATTGTGCGGAAAAATGCTCGTGAGTGCGTAATTTGCCAAGGAGAGATGGTGATCGGTGTACAAGTTACGCGAATGCCGTGTCAGGTACACATGTTATCTGAATAGTCAAATAATTTCATTTGCTTCTTACTGTAATGATGGTACCAGCATATGTTTCACACAACATGCCTGCATGAATGGCTGCAAATTGGCAATTCGTGTCCAATTTGCCGTGTCAAGATCGCGGCCAAGCGCAACGCTGACAAAAGGTTAACAACTTCGCAAAACGCGCAGCAACGTGGTGATTTTGCGTGGAGTGAGTGGTTTTCCTAGTTATGAACAGAATAATAGATACATTATACATTGAAATTCGACAAGTTGCATTACTTTAATTCTTATAAATAATTATTCTACTATTTCATAACTTCGAAGGTGTAGCTATACATCTTTTATTGATTAGAATCAACTCGTGGTTGGAAGGAATAGCAACATCAATACAGCAACTATGTCGATGGAGTTCTTCGCCTCAAGAACCAGAGTTACTGGTCCAGCCTTCTGTCCACACTGTGGCACTATTCTGGACCATCCCGATACCAATAACATTGTTTGCTCTGCATGCGAGTACCGCTGTCGCTACCAAGGTCCGTTCCTCTTTCCTTTAAGCTTGATACAATAACCACAATATATCATTTTTGCCTGTAGACCTTCCATCATTATCTGTGGTGACCCAGAGCGAAGACAGACCACTACCAAAATGGCTAGACGCCAAAGTAGGCATGAGCGAGGTCACAGGTCCAGCTCGCGCTACAGTGGAGGAGACGTGTCCAAAATGCGAGAATCCCGAAATGGACTACTACACGCTGCAACTCCGGTCGGCCGATGAGGGCCAAACAGTCTTTTATGAATGTAAAAAGTGTGGACACAAGTTTTCCGTCAATAACTAACTTGAAAACCATATAAATATATAGAAAGACGTTCGTCTCAATGCGTGGCACAGCACCCGTGTAGCATAACAAATTGCAACGAATGAATAGAATTATCTACTATAGACCTTCATCCTTTTATCTGCTTATATCAAACAATCAGCGCGATTAGAAAATCGGCACGAGATTTAGATGTTTATATGCAAGAAAAGATTGAGACTGTTAAGTTAAATTTCTAAATAGAGCAACGATGAGTACTTTTACCTCATATACGACTAGAATTCAAGTAGCAAGTCGAACACAAACAAACGGATCGATGCATTAATGTTCGGAAAGTATCATTGCAATGTTGGTTTATTGCATGGTAAATCCAGTGTTTTCCGTGTTGATAACGACAGTAAGGAACGTTACGAGCTCTTGATAAGAACGGTAGATAGGGAGATCAAGGCGATTGAAGCATGTGTGAGCTTTCGGATAAAGATCTGATGGAGAGAAGCCAATTGCCATCAATTCGAGACTAAAGCGACAAATACGGCCATCATTCCCTAGCAGTGCTCGAAAGCCTTCTGCCGGAACTCGAGAGGTGCCCGTGACAAACTGAAGAAGACGTGCGCGCTCTTCCGTCGAAAATGCGCGCACAGCGTGCCAGAACCACTGCACAACCTGACGTTCTGCACTAGTGGCTTTGTTGTGTCCAAGATCAGCATGTTTATAGCAAACGTCAGTGTGAGATTCCCAGTCGGCAACGTCGATCGATGGCATGCCGCACATAAGTAGCTCCAATTCTTGATAATCAAAAACAGTCAAAAGTGTGCGTGGGAGGACGTCGTAGAGACCTTCGAGCATGGCTTCTAGCTGCTCCTGTACACTACCAAACATCTTGTGCTGTAGCAAGAGTGTTAAATACTCTTCCTTATTAATATCCGTCACAGGTATGTCGTTACCACCTGGTGTGAGCTCCTCCGTAACAATCAACCCATCTTTGTCCTGCCGTTGTACTGTGAAGGTAAGTGCCAGCGCTTCCACACCCTCATAATCTCGAAGCGACAGAGTGTGGCGATGAAGCTCTGCATCCAGAAATTCCAAGTCTGAGAACGAAATGGGTACACCAAGCAGGTGCTTGAGAAGGGGAAGGGCGAGGTAGACAGTTAGAATTTGACCTTCCAACAAGCATTTCGCTAGCAATCGCCCAACAAACTTATACCAGTGCAAGTGATCGCTATGTACATATGCGGAATTTGGATTGATCCAATAGCCGGATTGTTCGGCATGCGTTCGTAAAAATAATCCATTCTTTTCGGCAAACAGTTGTTCACAAAGAAGCAAAACCCATTCTCGCATCAATCCTCCGATATCTAATCCGGGTTCATTGATAAACTCGATCTGCATACGTTGGCGTAGATCAGCAGCTGGAATCAGCATTAACAAGTGCATGGACTCACTCAGTATAGCCTCGCGACGAATTTTAAGCAGAAGGTGACCTTCGTCGTATGGAATTACAATTTTGTCAAGTTCTTGAAGAAACCACCGAACTTTTGTTTTGAAGGGAAAAGCTGCAACAGACTCATAGTCAATGATACTTGTGGCTCTTGGAAACTCTGTGATATTGATCGTGGTTACTGTAGTCCGCTCGTGTACAAGAGTGTCAGCTGAAACCCACTCGGCCTGTCCTTGGTCGTTTACGTGCCTTATATAACCAATGGACCGCTGTGTCATAAGTTCATCTTCCGAGCTGGTTGACGCAGTCACATCGTCGCAATTGACTGCACTGCAACCACTTCGCACCGTTTTACAAATAGCTGGAGAAAACGCTCCGTCTGAATGTGCCGACTGGATCATCGAAAGCTCTGTTCGTACACCCAAACGCCCCCCATTGTTAGTGTTATTAAGCGATAATGGACTGGTCGGACCGCGATAAGTTCCATCAGACGCATAAGCAGCAGGTGCCGACCCTCGCTCGCTTTCAAATTTTGGACTACCAAGGATAAGCGATGCCGCACGTGTCGGCAAGCTAGAACGAATACTCGATGCTAACTGGCTGAGTCGAGATGGCTGGCAATGACCGACTCGCACCCATCGAAATTGATTATCATCAATTCTTTCGCGCTGCCACAAATGACGCCGCCGTGCACCTCTCTGTCTTTGATTCAACTTTAATTCGTCTGATCGTTCAGCGTGAAAAGAGCTGTTTGGCGCGGCTAGGGAAGCTACCGACTCACTGGTAGGTAACTTTGTAGTAGTCTTTCCTGGTAAAGATAGTGGCCTTGTAACCCGTTGCGAAACGACTATTCAGTACACAAAGATCAGCGAATGATGCCCAAACTCTTCAAAAATATGCCTCGTACCTTCTAAAGTGCCACACATGAGGCATTCTTTCTTAGCAGGATGATTCTCGTAGTAACATACTGAGCATTGCCACTCTTCTTGACCGTCCGGAATGACACTATCCTCAAGCAAATGCCTTTGCATATTGTTTCTGTCATTACCACTCTGCTCACTCTGTAGAACCTGTCGTTGATGGAGACAGTAGAGTAACATCGACGTGCCAGCTAGCCCCATGACGATACCGACAATCATATATAAATAGGTGTCGACGTCTGCCAACGCCACTTAGTCGGTTTGCTATACAAATTTCTCCATTATGCGGCACTTACGATATTCCTGATGCGACGTTATGTCACTCATCTATTCAGAAAGCTGTTTATTCTTCGCGTTTGCGCTAACTTCTCTATCAAGCGTCCTTTTGATGCTCGACAACAAGCACGAATGGGACCACTGCACAATATAAACCTTTCATTATAGGAATATGTGCGATGATGGAGCGCAAGGAAAACGACTTGGTTGGAAAAACGCAAAGCTTCACTCTTTAATTACCGTTTTATTTACAACAGCAACTTCAACATAAGTATAACTTCTGAGTCTTTATGTTGTTCTATTTAAGTTGCGCAAACTTCAAGTATGACAATTACTGTGCCGCCTTCGTCTCCCGCAGCTCTTGCACTGCCATCACCGCCGCCCACGTCGACTTCTACTACATCGTCGCTAGATACACCAACACTGACTAGCAGTAAAAGACTGTTGAAAGCTGCTTTAATGAGCAGTCGAACAGCAAGTATACCCTCCGACGTCGTAACAACTTGTAAAGTCAAAAGCGGTCATAGCTCAAGTTTCTCGTCGCCACTCCCTCCCTGTCCAGAAGATCCGCCCGGTCCGCTTCCTCCATCTTGTACACCGCCCAAGTACCGCCCACTAGAGGATAATGACGACGAAACGCACAGTTTAGAGAGTGCAGACGAGCCTACAGAGCCACAGAGCTTTCCAACGCCACCACCACCACCTTCTCCACCTGTTACAAGCCCGATTGGCACGCCACCGCCTCCTCCGCCGCCTCCGTTCTCTCCACCCAGTGCTAAGATTGCTGTAGATTTGTCTGAAGCTCTAAAAGGAGTAGCTCAGGTCACGAAGGAGCCGCCGTTGCCTTTAGATAGAAGGGAAATGAGTGACGGAGAAGATGGAGATGACGAACGAGAGGAAAGCAGTTGTGTCATAGAGGCTCAAGCTTTGCCTGAGGCCTCCTCATCCTTAGTTATAGCATCTATGAGAAGTGCAGTGCGAGAACGCGAGATTATGACGGAAACAGTACAGGAGGTGGCAACGAAAAAGCCCAGATTTTATATTGGTGATATTGACAATTATAGTATAATTGATAAGGTTGGATCCGGAACGTACGGGTACGCTGAGTTTCAGTATGTGTTATGTGAAGGAAGAAGTACTGACATGTGCGTGATGTACCGCCAGAGAGGTTTTTAAGTGTCAACATAAGGTGACGAAGGACATCGTAGCGCTCAAGAAACTTCGACCAGATGTTGAAAAGAATGGAGTACGTTCGAAATTCTCTATCATCGATTTACGGAAGGTATTGACAGAAAGTTTTCTGCCAGTTTCCCGTTACTTCCATTCGCGAGATGAAAATTCTCAAGTATCTTAAGCACCCAAATATTTTGGAATTAAAGGAAATTGTGTCAACGAGTGGTACGCTTGTCCGATAAAATGTTGCAATCAAAATCAATAATTTTTGTCCGGCTCACTTGCTGGAATCTATGGATTGTGTTAGCTCCGCCTAAAGAAGGCAAAAGGCCACCGTTGTACTTTGCGTTCGAATACATGGAGCATGATCTTTCGGGGCTGTTGAACCATCCGCGCGTAAAGTTCACACGCACACAGATACAGTGCTATATGCGTCAGCTACTGACTGGAATTGCATTTATGCACCGCAATAAGATCATCCATCGCGATATCAAAGCTTCAAACTTGTTACTGAACAACCAAGGCATGCTCAAAGTCGGAGACTTTGGTCTTTCGAGGTTCTGGAACGAAGTAAATGCAAAGGCCGGAAAATACACAAACAAGGTAGTGACACTCTGGTATCGACCACCGGAGCTGCTCGTGGGCTCAACGTCATATGATTTCTCGGTGGATCTCTGGTCCATCGGGTGCATTTTTGGTGAGCTTTTATTGGGAAAACCCATTTTGCAAGGGAAGACTGAAATTGAGCAGGTATGATACCCTATTGTGATTGTGTCAATGCATTAATGTATACTTTATTTTTGTTATGCGCAGCTTCAAATGATCTTTGGTTTATGTGGTATGCCAACGGAGGAAACATGGCCTGATTATTTTAAACTACAGGGGCCTGAGATTGTTCAAACGGATGACAGATACATTTGTCCACTGCGTGAGCGATTTAAAAAGTACTGATGGTTTTACTTTTTGCTGAAGTTTGTTATCGTGCGCTGACTGCGATTTTACGGTTATGTAGCTTCCCACCTCATGCCATCGATTTACTGGAAAAGTTACTGCATCTTGATCCTGCAAAGCGCATTACAGCTGCAGAAGCCATGGACCACGATTATTTTTGGCGTGTACAAACGTGTAAACCGCGAGAGTACGTACCCGTCTGCTTCTATTACAATCGCTTTACTTTATAGATGACAACAAATGTTGTTCCGTTAGCTTACCCAAATTTTGTGTGTCGTCAACACATGAATATCAATCAAAGAAACGGCATCATGAAGAGATGGAAGCAGCTGCTACAGCAAAAAGAGGCAACATGAAAACCAGCGACCATCATCGTTATATGCGTCAGCGTGGCGAACGTAGCGGATACCGCGAGCGCGAAGATCATTATCGCGGAGAGGGTAACAACAGTCGCTTAGATCGCAGCAGACCCTTCCGTTCGCATCGTCCTAATAGTGACTACTACGACCGAGATCGTGACCGTAGTCGAAGTCGAAGTCGCGAACGCCACCACGATCGCGAGCTCCGAGACCGTGATCGCTAATATAAATGATCTTCATATGCTACTTTTATCAAAAGTATGCCTCAACTTCTAGAAGGGCTGTCAATATTGAGGCACACGTTCATTGCATCATTTTTTGATCTTTTCTGTGTCATCAACCTTATGTAAGAGCGCACACAATTTTATCCACTAATTCTTTGCTCAAAGTCGATATTATTATCTTGAATGTTTAAATTTTAATTTGACTAAAAAAACGCTGTTAGCGGTATCCAGATCAAATAAAATGGTATCCGTGCACGACTTTCTGTCTCGCGAGCTGCTCGCAGCATGTTTCTTTGTTATGCTATTTTCCTCTGCGGTGGACCAGTATCCAGGTGAAGTGGAGCCAGAACCTTTGAATTTTGCTTATGAAATACACACAAGCGAACAAGAAGCGAGTTACGCTAAGACCAAGCCAATCATTCGCAACACCGAGCTATTCGAGGCCCCGCAAATGGAAACTCTTTTTGCTAACCAGGCGCTTGGAGCTGAAGATCTGGCAGTCAGTCAAGACGAAGTCGCGTACGTTGGACTGGCTGATGGCCGTCTTGCAAGCTTTAGCAAGGCGGCAAATGAATTTCGCAATTTCTCCAGGACTGGACGCGACCTTCCTGAGTGTGGTACACCCGACATGGAACCGACATGCGGACGACCACTTGGCCTTGTCTTTGCAGCGGCCAGACCATTTGCCAAGTTTCTCAAACGGATCCCTGGTGCGATGACGTTTGCAGGAGATCAGGTGCTTTTAGTGGCAGATGCATACAAGGGCGTGCTGCTCTTTGATGCGAATGGAAAGCGTACATTATTGTTCAGTCGTGTTGGCGAAGAACAAACCAATTTCTTAGATGGAATTGCAGTGGTACAAGAGACAGGGGAGATTTACGTGACAGAGGCATCGCGTCGTTTTCAGTGCAACCGAGTATTTCTTGACTTCTTGGAGCATAAACCTTCAGGGTATTTGCTACACTTCGATCCAAACACAGGGAGGGCCAACGTTGTGGTAGGCGACTTGGGCTTTCCAAATGGCTTAACATTCGATAAAGATGGATCTGGATTGCTTATTGCACTCACATTTCAGAACAAAATCGTTCGTTTTGACTTAAAGACAAAGCAAATTAAAGACTTTGCATTCGTGCCTGGCGAGCCAGATAATATCTCGATTGAAAAAGTGGGTGCAGGTGAGAACGAGCACGAGGTGCTGATGGTGGGATTAGTATCGCTTAACGAAGGGTACTTCTATTACATCAAGCAAAGTGTAAAGATTCGCAAATTGCTGTCGCTGCTTCCGACGTGGTTGACTCTATTTTTCGTGCGCCGCATTGGAATCTTCGCTTCGGTGGACTTGGAGACTGGTAACATCCTACATGTGTACGAAGCTTCGCAGGGTCAGACACCACTTGTGTCGGGAACTCGTCGTTTCGGAGATGACATTTATCTCATGAGTTGGCGTCGACCTTTCATCTCGCGTATATCAGCAGCTCTAATTGAGTAGGAAGTGGCATGTTAGCGTCGTTTTTCAGATTCAATGGAGACTTTAAGCAGGATGTCTTAATAACATTTTTCATCGTGCATAGCCGCAGCTACGTTTCTTCTGTCTCTTGTTGCTGTCTCGCAATTCCTCTCCACTACCACTACATTAGACCGCTCAATTGTTTTTTCCTCGGCTTGCCCACTTACAGTGACTCCTTGCCGGCTATCAATCAAGTCGCGGCGTTGAAGACGATAATTTGGTTGCTGTCCACATGTCAATAATGTCCAAAATACAGAGACGTGATGTGTATGAAATTAAAATCCCTCTCAAGGATTAATCAACTTTAAAAATCATTTAACTCAACATTAAAAGTCACTTTTAATGACTTCACGGAATTTCAAATAGGAGGTTGTAGGTTTATTGTGTTAGCTCAACGTAAATTAACACGCAATCGAGGTTTGTGGTAAATAAGTGCGGGCTGGATGCAAAGAATACTCAAAAGCTGCTGAGATCTGTGCGACTTGAGTTAAAATCGTAGGCTTCCAACTTGACAACAAGAACCGTAATGTTATCGCATGTGTGACGTTGTAACGCTAACCCAACAAGTGCATTTGCGACAGCTTGTGGATCTTTGTAACAAATAGCTATCTTCGCGGCCCGCTTGCTGGAAACGACATCCCAAAGACCATCTGTCGCCATGATGAGAAAACGGTCGTTTTTCGAAAGCTTACGCGATTGGATTTCCGGATCGCACGATATGTATGGCTTTAAAGTCACATCACCGATGGAGCGGGACATGGCCAATTGGCCATTCACACGTGGGACGTCAATGATTTTTTTGAGTGGCCAAATTCTATACATGAAGTCGGGCTTGCCTGTAACGAAAGCCCCTCTGGCTTCTAGACGTCTCCTCTCGTCTTTACGGTTAGGCTTTTGATCGTCCGACATGGCAATGGCATCTCCGAAGCGAGTGACTACAACAGCCCGCGAGTCGCCAACATTTCCAACGTGGAGAAAGCCATCTCGTACAAGGGCTATAAGCAAAGTTGAGCCATCATCTGTGGCGAAAGAGCGGTTGTGGCTATGCCGTGCCGACGCACTGAGCGCAGAGTTTGACGCGCGACGAGCATAGGTACAGAAGTCAGCGTCTGAAGAACGTAAGAACGAATCATTAGGGCTAAGGCATGAACGTGGACAAGAAGTAACGTGATACATACCGAGTGCTCGAACAGCACTAGTGATTGCATCTTTCACGACAACTCTTTGTGCAAGTTGCTCAAGAATGAGTGGAAAAATCTTCTCAGCACAATAACGAGACGCACGGTCACCTGCATGGCCGTCAAAGACGCCAAAGCAGCCACTAACAGAGCTAGAGTAGCCGTTTAAAGTGAGTCTCTTTGCTACTTTCCCACCAATAAAATAAACGTCCTGTGATGTGATAAAGTCAAGTGAGCACGTGGTCACAAATACGAGTAAATAGAGTAACGAACGACTAAACGTACCTCTTGGTTAGGTTTGCCGCCACGGTCTGTGGAGATACCAACTGGCACGTCGTAAATATCATCACCTTCGAGCTCTTTCGAGATCGAGTCGAAGTCGTTAGAGTTTGTGTAAGTAGATGGCTGTCGCTTGCGAGGAGGCTGAACTCCTGTCATTATAGAAAAGTGTTGTGATAATTGTCGGCTGGTGATTTGAGCACTTGGAGGATTGTTTCGTTATGACATCCGACACGCAAGCTACAAGGTGCAGTCAGTGATCTATAGGTCCCGTCGCTACCCGCACAGATGTGTGGCAGACGCTGACGTTGAAATCCGGATCTAGGACGTATACAAAAGACAAAATAAGACAGTATCGTCGTATAAATACTAACTGGACAATTTACCATCACAAAGAGAACAGCGCTGTAACTTACAGCCTGGAAGCCCAGTACTGCTTCCTACGATTGTTCTGATAGAGCTGACGCGTGGGAATATCTCTTTGTGCCGGGCGATAGGGTCGAGGTCGGCTGGGTTTAGAGCAGCACCTGGATTCGCGCAGATTATTTTCGACTCAGTGATTCGATAGCAAAAAATTTATAGTACAATGTATCACGACGACCAGACACATTCGTGCAAGAAAAGCACACGGCACGCAAGTTGAGATTTTTTTTCTTAAGACGTGCTCGTCACCATCAATTTATAGCGTAGCCGTTGGATACTTTTGCGTACGCGATAGACACAATGATGCAGAGATCGCTCGACAAGATCGACTAAAAGGAGATTCAGGTGGAAATAGTACGACACGAGAGCAGATGATTCAGCTTTTAATTTGTGACACAAATTGCAGATCATCACCGGTAAGGAGCTGGTATTTTTTACTGGCTACAATCTGGCTTCAAAATCCGTCATTAGCTCGAAAGGGTGGAAAAAAATTAAAATTAATCTTTGATTAGTAATCGTCGATGTAGGAGCGGGATGGCGACGGCAGCACTTTCATCTCGCGCCTGGCTGATGTTGGAAAGGGGTGATCAAGCGCTTCATGCATATCAAAGTATTTCTGGTCTGTGTATGTGAAAGTGCACAAGCTATAGCGCTAAACTTTTTGGCACAAGATATGATTACGGACGGCGCTAAAGTTAGTTATAAAAGTTATCAATTTGGGCCACAACTGCAGGCATGGATTCTATATATTCATGGGGGTAGTCTGATTATTATTTTGTCGCCCACTTTAGCAATTGCGCCGTATTAAGTTTAATATTTTGAACCCTTATAAAGAAGAATCTTCTATTACCACTGTCACGGGAGAGACTTATGGTGCAACAGACCTTGTCATAACAACAGTCTGATCAGCATAGAGCCTCGAAAAGATACAGCTTCAGTTTTTTGACACAGTGTTCGTATATGTTGCTTTTATTCAAGACTTTTATTGTTCGTAAATATCGCTCTTTATTGTTCGTTTCAGGATTGTGTTTCATGTAGTCCAAACCTTTTTATGGCCAGAACTTCAGAAAATGCAGGATGACTTGATACTCAAGCAATGCCTCCTGATTTGTGTAGTACGTAAAAGTTCCTTGCGATGCCTGCGACAAATGTCGTTTCGTGCGCAGTGACGCGTTCGGAAATAAACGAATGGTACCCGTGTGACACAAACGAATGTCAGCAAACATTCATGACCGAATTCAGGTTGTCCCGCCTTTCTTTATATAAAAATAGTAATATGGCAATATGTATAGCAATGCAGGACATTTTTTATCAGGTGGTAATTTGTGGAAATGCTCAAAGCCAGCAACGTCGCCGCGGGCTCACCCCACGCTTAAAACAGCTGCTGTGTCAGTGCTTAAACTTGAATTCGCAGGCACCGAAGCCATCGCTTTATTGAAATCACTGGCTCACCCATTCTTATGCAAAGGGGTAGGTTAATAAAGTATATAATCTTATAGAAATCAAAATCGGGTAATAATTAGTGGTACATCGAGTCAAATTTGACTTCAATTTTTTTGAAGGTCATCCGAAAAATGGCCATTGATTAGTAATCAATGGGGACGTTAAGGGACGGGAAGTTCCCGTAAAAAAAAAATTGATCCCATCTTTACGTTAAGTTTACGTTAAGGACGTTAACTTTGGAACATCTGTAT